TCAGCAGGCAGTCCCTTGGGCTCATTTCCTGCCTGTCACAGGCAGGACCCACAATAGAAAGTGCCCAAGATTTTCCTGCTCCTGCTAAGGCTAGTCTCCCGTGTTCAGGGGGGGCAGGCAGCTGGACTGCAGCTGGGGCAGGCCAAAGCTCTTCATGAACCCCAGAAGGCTGGGGCTCAACCCACCACCATCCACAGGCCATGTGGACCGACAGACACACCACACTCTGAAATTCAATGTGCACAGATAGATGAGAGATAGGGCGATTGTGGGAAACACAAGAAAACAACAAGGAGATCATGGAAAGGAAGAGGATTGTCCAAGTTTGTCAGGACTCATTTAATGGAGCTTAATTTCACCAAAGGCCCTGCAATGCTTTGATGGGTATATTAAAAAAGCCTTTCCAGTTGCTGAAGCCTTTGCGTATTGCAGCAGCTGAGGTCACCACAACCTTAAAGGCTGTTAGAGAGGCCTGAGATTCTGATAAAAACAAAATTAGCATGTAAAGAAAGATTTAAAATACAGCCCTACTCTGCATGGGTCTCCTACACTGCTAGCTCCACAGCCCCGTGTCAGAAGAAAGCCTGCCCTATACACCCTGAAAGCTGTGATTTTTTATTTAATCACTGAAACAGGCAGGGCAAGAACCAAACCAAAATATCAGAGTCACTAAAATGAAGTATTTTGTGTTAGAGGCCTAGATTCAAAACTGGTCTTGATATTAAGAAGGAGTTTGCTGTTATTGAAATGTCTCATTGCAAACAGTGAGGAAAAAAGAAGAGTTTGCAGCCACAGTGCCAGAGCACTGAAACCCAACTGTTGGTGCCGGTCTTCCACGTGCATGCAGTAACCCCAACAGCTCAGAACCTCTTCCCCACAGCACTCGCACCCGGTTGCTGGCTCAATTTGCTGTTCCCACCCTGGGGCAAGTCCTGAGCAGGGGACAGCTGCGAGGGGCCGTGGGGCTGGCTCAGAGCTAGGCAGAGGCCAGTCGGGTTACTCTGCGTGCCCTCTCACCTGCCTGTGCAACCACCCCAGCACCAGCACTTCCACAGGTATCTGCCAGCACTCTCCTACTCTGCGCGCTCAAGCACCATCCCCAAAAGTACTGTCACAGGACACTGGTATCTGTGGAAACCACGTCTCCAAATGCCATTCCATCAACTTCTCCAACACCCTAACATAATTCCTGAAAGGACGGTACAGCTCCTGCCGCTGCTGCTCTGGGATAGGCAATGAACCTGCCTGGGGAGGCGACACTGCCGGGAATTGCTGCGCTGCACGCGAGGATGTCATTTGTCTCGTCAGAACTAATACTGGGCATATGGGGAAGCGCAGTAGCCGTGCTGCCTGCCCAGGAGCTGGGAAGCAGCCTCATTTGCAGAGGTGTCCAAGTTGTCAAAACAGCACCTGTGCTGACTGGTGCTGGCCCTCTGAGGGCTGGGGGAATGTTATCCAGCGGGCATAAGGCGAGCACTGGGTACACAAACCTTTGTGTGTTGCTTTTGCTGATTAAAAAACCTCACAGTATTCTACCGGATTCCTCAAAACTCAAATAAGGCAAGGATGGGCTGCTTTATACTTCTAGAGCATGGTTTTCTAGCAACACTTATCTCTTAAAAACTCAGGCAAAATTTCCATTATTTTAAATTATGTTGTAGAACATGGGAAAATGTCATATTTTGATCAAAGAATAAGATGGGGCAACAAATCCAATTTTTATTCTCACTGCATTGCATATAACCTCTCAATTTCCTTCTGTTATTTGACTTCAGTTGTGAAATTTATTGCAATAAAAATAATAATAATAATAAATATAATAATAATCGGGGATTGGACTGGATGATCTTTTGAGGTCCCTTCCAATCCCTAACGTTCTGTGATTCTGTGAAGTAGGAATAATCTAGTTCTTAAATAAATATAAATACAGAAAGTGGATACACTACTTAAACATTAAAATAGTTCCCTTTATAATTTTATTTTCACTGTAAGGTAACTAAAAAGATAAGAGTTATACAATGAGTTTTCCATGCAAAGAAAATTCAGCATCAAATTTAGGTTGTCAGGATACACCTGCTTTCAGTGAGAACAGGCCTTTACATCATGTATCGTGGTGAAGCACACTCAAATGGCAGGGTTAAACTGAAGAAGCTCAACAGTTTCCACAAAATCAACATACGTTCCTTAAGGATGATCAGTTTGCATGTAAAATTACTCACCCCCCCCAACATGCCTACTTATCTTTAGCAGCTATGGCCACAGAATTCAGTGTAAGTGCTCAGTAATAGTATTATAAGCGGGGTTAACACAGCCCGAGACTTTGCAGACTACGTGACTGTGAAAGCACCGAAGCAGGAGGGTTATACAGGCCCATTTACTAAAGATCAAGAAGAGTGCTGAAACAGACCTGTCATGTCTGCACAGTTAGAAATTTCAAACTCAAGTTAGGCAAATGTCATGGCAGGAGTTAATCATCACCTCTGTGCAAGCACCCTCGCTTTTTCAGCGTATACAGCTGGGACTGCAAGCAGACTGATAAAAGAGGGGATGACTACTATGGTGTAGTACGTGGATGCTCTTTCTCAGCGCAAACGAACAACCTACTGGGGGAAGTGGGTGGCAACAGCACGTTAATAAACACGTGCAGTTAATGAGATGACAGCTGGTTTGGAGCTGTAAAGCATCATCTTCCCTCCCAGCACCCTGCTCATCTCTCCTTTCTGTACTTCAAATGGTTACTCTTGTAAACCTCTAACTCAAGGACTGTGCTTACAGAATGCACTTATTTCTAGCAATGTCTGCCTAATTCACTGTTGAATTCTGTTTGCTACACACTTTCTATTGCAACATATATTTACCTCTCCACAAGCACAAAAATTTCCTCTGGTTCTGCAGAATGTAATGAACACAGAAAAAATTTATGTACGCTGGTCTTCTATGATACATTCTATATTAGCCATTTAGTGGACATGTATCAACAGCCTGTATGTAACGCCCACATGCACTCTTTCAGGCACTAATATTACATAATTTCTTGCATTTATGGTATTGATTAAACCTAGAGTCATCATCACAATGTCTTGGTGAAATCCATAAAATGTCTCTAAGCAGTCACTCCTAAACCTTACAGAAAGATTTCCACAACTCATCAGGGTGACGGGAGCAACAGCCAGGGGAAGGGTGGAGGGGCTAACCCACACAACAAAGAGGTAATGAGGGAGCACATCTTACCTGTGGGGTTCTGGAGGAGCTTGGGCTGCTGGCAGCTGAAGACACCATGCTCACGTTGGGGTTCATACTTCTCTCTCTCTCGTCCTGATAGATACGATCCCGCTCTGAGTCAGGCAAATTGAGGAAATTCTGCATTGCCCTTAAGTTTACCAGGAGGGATTGGGAAGCTGTCCTAGGGTCTTCTTCTTTACGCAGGATCTCTGACAACAAGCCCTGGTTCAAAAAAATTTTTAAAAAAATAAACAAAACAAAACAAACCCCAGTCACATTATGTTGGTTTTTTAAGAGTTTTTTGTTTGGTTGGTTTTTTTAAATTTGTTTAGTGTAACCAGCTAGGTTGAATACTGCGAACCTACAACAGAATCTCATGGGCTCTCCTAGAGGGGATATTTTGTAGGAAAGTGTTTGTCTTCTGGGGGCTGGGGTTTATTTTGGGACTGTCCTATTCTGGCACTGTAATAAGCTTCTGAGTACAGAGATTCCGGATGGGAAGGTAGGTACATTGGGTAGAAGAAATTGCAGTTACCACCAGGTGCTTGCTGCAAATATTTTAGGAGCTGTTAGATCTCTCTCTCAGCGTCTTTTGACTTGAAGCTGGGAACACTTGGCAATCCTGTGCATCTTTGACAAATCTGCCAAGGTTGGTAAATTTAGTTTTGACATTTAAACAGTGCAGGAGGTTTATAAAGAAAAACGTTTGGCTGGTTTTTGATGTTACAGTCCATTCATTTTGGTTTGGACAGTCATTTCTGAGAAGAGAAAAATGGAGCAATAATAAAGCCTCAGAATCTAGCTTTAGGGATTTAACCCATTCTTTCATGCCTCATTTTAAAATACCACAGGCTTCACATTGCAACCATGAATGAACACCATATTCATCTAGTTTTTACAAAAGCTGTTATTCCAGGAGGTAACTAGCACAGCAGTTCCAAAAAAAAGAAAGGGAAGGGAAAAAAATAGTTGGAGAGATGAAAATGTCATTAAAAGAGGCTTAAATCTAATGATGGGATTAGATTTATGCATAACTGTACACACTCAACAGTTCCACAGATTATCTAGAAGTTAAAGGCACAACACCTAAACCTGGATCAGGGCCTACAGAAACTACTGGGGCACAGTGTGTGCCACCAGCTTCCCCCAGGCACCCCCTGGCATCCGACACATCACAAATGGGTATTTCACTCCAAAAAGCAGTAATAGCAATTTCCCGAACTATAGATGTTTAGATGTACCAGTGAGCAAAGAAACAGAGAAGGATCCTTTCTGCCCATCGAGACTACTTATAAGAAATGGCAGTTGGAGGCTCGTTATTTTAAAAGGCTATTCTGCCAATGTGTTTCCCTGAGCAGTCCAAAACCCTTCCCGCTTCCCGCCTGCCCCGACCCAGCAGCTCTCTGCACTGCTGCTCCCAGGATCACTGGTCATGGACGTCATGAAAACACAGTCGGAGCTCAGAGGGCTCACCTCAACCCACTGCCGTGAGAGGCGCAACCTTCAGCGACCACAGGCAAAGGGGCACCGCCGTGCCCCAGATACAATTTAGCTGTCACTGTTAACATGAGCATTTTGCAGTTACTTTACAGCCACAATGGAGGCAAGCTGCCTCATGAGTACAGTCAAGGCTTACTCCTTTCTTATAAGAAAAATGGCACTAGAAAACAACCACGTAGTCTAAACGCTGTAATATTTAGCCTTAGTTTATTTTCATCTGTATCAGAAGTGTATCAGTGTCCTCTAAAAAGCCTTGCTAAAATACACTGCCACTACAGTTGGCCAATTAACCAAATGCCAACATTTTTAGTATATATTGATTTTATTTACCAGACTTCCTGACAAAACCAACAGACCAGCAAACCATGTATCTGTATCTGCATTTATCTACTATCTGCTACTAAACACCTACATTAGAACACATACATGAAAGCTATACCTTAGCAGTGTTTACGCCACAAGTGCTCAAAACAGCCTCCACACACAACCTGAAGGTAGGCTGCACACAGCTCCATCTTTTCAGCCTCTCATCTACATAATCAAGCTAAGAGATTCCCAATTACATTTTCCTGCAATTATCAGAATAGTTACCAGAAGGACTGGACCTGGGAATGGAGCCATGGTGGGAATCACCAGTCAGAAATGGGATCAGAGAGAGAAGCCAGCTGGCGAAAAAGGTCTACACTGGGAAAAACGTGGAAGACGGCGCAGTGCTGGGCTGGCCTCGGGTATTCTCTGTGACCTCAACACAACTGCATGCTCACACTTGGCTTCTTCCTCAGGGTTTAGCACCTCTTAGAGAAGCCAGGGACATTTTGAAAAGCTTTCCAAAGTTTGCCAGGCTCACAGACTGAGGGAAATTAACCAAAAATGGACATTATAGAAAATTGAAGCCACGACTTCATCGATACAACCTAAGATCGATACGGCAAGTCCCTATTATTATTTTCCCTTAAAGTCAGTGGGATATTCTCCAAATTCAGTAAATAAATTAAATATCAGTTAGATTCTCCAAATTTTTAATTTCCTGGGTCTTTGAAAGGATACATAACTTCTTTTATTTTTAAATAAAATATAAACTTCAAAAAATAATGTGTTTAGGTTGAAAGAAAGGTACCTGAAAGCAACTGGGGCAGACCTTAAGACAGCTTTTTCTTCCCCTCCCTCCATCTTAGCCTGGCTAAATTTATGGTCCAATTTAAAAAATGGAGAGCAGAAACATATGTGAAAGCATGCCAGCAATTACTTTTCAGTGCAGTCATTGACTCCCTATGTAAATCAGAGGCTCACAGGTACAAGTGGTTTGGTCATGGCACTAAGAGGTATCTCACTGCCTGAAATACCAACTCTTGTGCTTGGAGGCTCTCATTTATCACCAGAAACAGCTTATCATGGGGTAGATTCAGTGGTTTTGAACCCTAGCCTGTGCGTCTTGCTTTTCCGAAGGTCTCATCTCTGCTACAGGGATGTATTTTGCATCACTGCCCCATCACCAGGCTGTACAGCCATCTGGAGCCTCACCTCCTAATGTAAGCACCTGCCCCAGGGAGAGGGACCAGCTCCTTCCCCCAGCGCCGTGACGGGGCAGACCCTCGCAGGAGCCCTGCTCCCCTATGCGCCGCTGCCGGCCCACAGATACAAAACCTGGTTGCAAAGAGGGTTTTTCTGCAGCTTCTGCAAGTGCTTTGGCAGCTTAGGAACCGTGTAAACAGAAGGACAGATAATAAGAAAACTGACTCAGAGGGAAAAATCTTGTGTCCTCCTGCACTTGAAAATAAACAAGGCTGGTAAACAACAGTGGCTAGATAGCTGAGTGATAGGGGAGGACAATAAAGTATCTCGAGAGCAGTAACGCTTACAAAAATATAATTCTGAGCTACTGAAGTATATGCAAACTAACCAGTGAGCAACATTATAAAAAATAAATGATATTAAATAATCTGTTCAGCTTTTTTGTCACCTGCAACAAATTAGGCTTTCAATATGCAAAACATCTTCCTTCCAGAAAAACAAATGATCATGATTTCATTTAATTGTAATTTAATGAGGCATAATGTATTTTTTAAAGTGATATACACCAGGTGTGTGGTGAGGAAACTGGCCCAGCCAGACAAGCCCTACTGTTACTATTTTTGAGAAAACCCTAAAGCCAGCCAGGGACTGTTTTCATTTCTGCAAATTATGGTTCTGCTGGAGGGGGTGAGGGAGGGAAACCCACAGCATTCGTACATTTGTTATAAAATTCCATCGGCTAAATTAGCTCATTCCGACTTACTTACATCTCACATATTAAAAAATAAAAAATAAAAAAAATTGGCAGTTTGCAGAGTAACCAACTCTGCACACCTAAAGGAAGATCTTCAGGGACTAGGAAATCTCAGACTGATTTTAAACAGCCAAACAGATTTTCTATACAAAACACACCTTTCAGGATACATTTTAAGACAGGCAGCTTGATAATATCTTTGCTTCTCCACTCCTGTGCATCATTTTTAAACCAGTTGCTGAAGAGTTTCGTGTTCTCACAGGCCATGCTCACAAACGAGGTGTGCGCTCACCCTGAGACAAGGACTCCGTGCAAGCACAGTTTGGTTTACCCTTGGAACTTGCACCATTTTTAAAATTGCACACTGGATCCATAATTGACTTTTAAAAAATAACTAGCGGTGGAGAAAGGAGCACATGTCCAATCAAAATAAAAAGTCACTGGATCTATTTAAGGTAGGAGTAATTTTGACAGACTTTTTTCAAACTAGCTGAAGTGCAGTCCTTCAAGCCAGCAAAGTCACTGTCGCGGGGGTTTGCTTTGCACTCATTCTATGAAACCCCATTTGTGAACTCATTTCTTTTACTTTTATTAACTACAGGATTTCCAGTAGTTACTGGAAACAAAACCTCATAGGCAGGGAATCTTTTTAAGCATCTTCTGCAAGACAATGCAGTACGATGTAGAGTGAATGTTATCCTAACTGACTCCTACATCCAACTGAGCAGCCTTCAAGCCCAACACAAAGGCTTGATCGAAGCCCACAGAAGGCAACCGAAGCCCACAGAAGGCGAGCGAAGCCTTCTTGCCTTTTTTCCAAGGGCTTTGGCTCAGGCTTGGAAAAGGTGTAAATGAGACCTCAATGGGACAGCAGACTGCACTATCCATGACCAAACACAGGACAGTTTTGCAACCAGAGCTTTTCAAAAGCGATCGGGATGGGGGTGAGGAGGTCATGCTGGAGTGTAGCCCAGACATTGATGTCCTGGGGACAGAGGAGGATGACGGCCATCAGGCAGCAGGAGACTCGGGAGCACTGGCCAGGACCTCACACATCAAGTCCAATGATGTGGATGGGAGCTGTGCTCCTCCTTGTACAACCTAAGCAATGCGTCTGCAAGAGTAGACACCAAGGTTAAAAAGGTTCAAAACATTTTGGACAATAGAAATGTAAGCCAAGGCAAAAACTTAAATAAACTCAAACTAATGTGCTAAACCTCAGTTTTTATGTTCTTTAGAAGGAGGTTTTATATATACATGAAGGACTGAAAAAGCGTAAACACTTTTTTCATACTTTCGGTTTATTTGTGCCTCTCCATGCTTAAGCTATTGCCAAAAGCAACAGGGAAAATGCTGAAATACTACAAAAATATTGTTTCTGTCGTACTTAAAGCTCTAAGTACTTTAAGTCCAATATTTGTAACTAACAGTCTCAAAAGAAAAGCTATTCTGCTTC